CCCAATAGAACAGTGTGTTGCTAGGAACAGGGATTGCAATTTATAAGACTGGTTTGGGTTTCATAAAGCTGATTGCATTTAAATCAGTTTGTGTTTATGATGAACTGAAATCTTCTCAGGAGGTTAACACTCTGTTGGAACACCTTTTCTTTCTTAGCAATCATCTAGAAAATCTAAGAGTTAATTTCTATGCAGCCAATGCATCCTGTGCAGGGAAATTTAAAATTTAGTTCCACAGCCTTAAACTTTACCTTTCAGCCTGGCCAGGTTTTCCACAGACAACTTGCCCTTCAGGACATCAGTGTGAATGACTCAGCATAACCTACCGCATTACTGGGATATATTTCAAAATATAGTTCCTGTTGATCTGTGTCTCAGGATTCGGATCTGGGGTGCCTTTGCCACAATGTGGAAAGGGCAGCATTCCTTCTTGCACAGGGCATGTTGAGAAACCCTGCATAGGGGCTTGCCACACTAGTGATTTCAGGAGCAAAAGTGCTAAGAAGTCCACTGCCCCTCAGATTTAACATGCTCTCATTAGATTAGGAAGTAATTTTCCTGACAACAATCAGAGTATATTTACGTCTGTCTTACCCTTGCTTAACTCTTCTGGACCTGTTACTGGCTTACACAGGCTCTAGGCGAGGAGGCATAGTCCTGGGGTATCGCTGTTTGCTTAGACTTCCTCCAGGTACCATGAATTTCACGTTGTTCCTGCCTTCTTGGTTTAGCACTTCCAAGCTATGGTTAAAGCCCTAGAGAAGGAAGCAGCCAGCGAGAAGCAGCAGCTGGTGGAAACCCACCTGGCTCGGGTGGAAGCTATGCTGAATGACCGCCGCCGCATGGCTCTGGAGAATTACCTGGCTGCCTTGCAGTCCGACCCACCACGGGTGAGTGGTGTGCAGAGCCCAGAGAACGGTATTCTCGAGGTCACCTCCTCTAAAGCAGCGTATGTGTAGAACATGTATGATGACCTGACACGGGTCAACAAAAATATTACATTTTTATGACGAGTTCTGGCAAGGGAAGACAGGTAAGGAGAGAAGAGGGGAAAAAAGGTGTCATCTTCTAGTATGTTCTTACGTCACCTTAGCATTACACTTTATGCTTGCATATGCCACCAGTGATACAGAAGTGTCTTACCCTGGAAAAGCATAATCTGAGGATATGGGTTGGTAGTTAATTATTGAATTTTTATAGTAGCTTTTTTAATGTTTATTTTTGAGAGAGAGAGAGAAAGACAGATTGTGAGTGGGGGACGGGCAGAGAGAGAGGGAGACACAGAATCCGAAGCAGGCTCCAGGCTCTGAGCTGTCAGCACAGAGCCCGATGTGGGGCTCAAACCCAAACCACAAGATCATGACCTGAGCCAAAGTCGGATGCTTAACCGACTGAACCACCCAGGCGCCCCTTATAGTAGCTTTACTTTCAAAGAATAAAAACTTGCCTTTTGAACACGCTGTTGTAATAAGATTATGAAGAAAAGGGTAAAGGGACTTCTATCAAAGCCCCTGGTGCTGGTGGTCTCGTGCTTCTTTATCCCTTCGCTCTAACCTACCTTGCTTTTGGGGGACGGAAATACTGGAAAGAATGGTATTGGTATCCTTCTTAGGTGAGCAAGCAGAGTCTTTTCTGGGTGACACAGGGACTGCCTACCTTGCAATTTAAGGTGTCGGACACTGAGCTTAGGAAAGAGGACAGATTGAGAGGGCTAGAGATTCTGGAAAATACTGTTCCTTAAGGAGCCAACATAACTTTGGAACTTAGATTTTGGTACATTGTGTAGAAAGGTAGTTTCTTCTTACTTGAGAAGCTTAAAAGCTTTAAAAAGCACAGCTTTCCTTCTTGGTGCCCGGCTGGCTTTTACATTCTTAGGTGAGTTTTTTAAGCCTTTCCTGCCTGTTTTCAGTTCTGTAGTGCCTGGATATTCAAACTGCTGTTCTCTCTTGCAGCCTCATCGCGTCCTCCAGGCCTTGCGGCGTTACGTCCGTGCTGAGAACAAAGACCGTCTGCATACCATCCGTCACTACCAGCATGTGTTGGCTGTTGACCCAGAGAAGGCAGCCCAGATGAAATCCCAGGTACACTAGACACAGTCGAAATTGCCGCAGGAGAGTGTCTCTAGCGGGGAGAAGCCGCTTCGACGGTTGGTTGGGCAACACTGATAGCTGTGCTTGGAAAGTGATAAATGGTTTCCGAAGACATTATTAGATTACAAGAGGTGGTTTTTGCAAAAATACAGTTTCTAAGATCTCTTTTCCATACTTTGTTCTATTAAGTCCTTTCTCCTTAAAGAGTTTCTGAAAGTTTAGTGGAAAAACTAGACTATCATGTAGTATTTTACAGAAAAACAGCCATTTTTATATAGTGAGACTAGAAGGAAAGGAGAGACCTTGATCAGTGTATTAAATTAACAACTAGGGAATGAGTTGTGTGCCAGCAAGATCATAGTGCCACACCAGATGGCCCAGGAAGTGGAACTCTCTCCCTTGCAGACCTCGGGGGGGAAACCCCAGCTGTCCTGTGTGATATTCGCTCTGTGCTCTAAGCCCTTAGTTCCAGTGAAGCTTGGCTGCTGAATTACATGAACTTCTGCATGTTCCCTGTTGTGTTATCTACACTCTGGGAAGTGCTGAATATGTTCAGCCTATTGTAATGTGCGCATTTGGTCTGGGATGTGAGTGTGGTGGTGTTCTTACCCCTTATGTGAGCTCAACAGCTCACCGTGAGGACACTGATGTCCAGTACCCTGCCCCCCTGTGGTTCTTGTTCTCCTGTGGGCATAGGAACCGTCCTCAGTCAAATGGCTCCTTAATTCATCTGAAATATGACAATGTCCACACACGCCAAGACTGTGGGTGGTGCATTTTCAGTTTCCATTTGCATTTTTTCTCTCAGGCACTTATTACTCTGGTGCTTTCCCGTCAATTTACTTGATTGAAAGAATGGCAAATACAAAATTAAATTACTTTCATCCCTGCTTTTAAAGGTCAGAGAGACATCAATCTACAATAAAAGCATCTTTCCATTTAATTTTTTTTTTGTTTGGCCATGTTACATGGCTTCAAGCCCACATAATTAATCCATTGGCTTAGAGCACCCTCTTTAGGACGAGCATGGTAAGTGCCAGTGTAACCAGACAGGCATACCGGTCCTGACATGCCTCACTGTGGCCTTGGGGTGGACGTTAGCCCACATCACCTTTCATTTCCACCCCAAAACCTTCACAAGTAAATGACCAGTTTTGATGGCTTTTTTTTCCTTTTTAAAAAGTATGAACAATCTGGAATTGTTGCATTCAGAAAAGGTAGTGAACCGTGGAACAGGGATGGTAGATAGTCTTTATCACTCCTTAAAGTCAGGTTTATTTATACCTCAATGTAAAGTTTTGAAGGAATAACTAATTTAGTTAAATATGAATGAACTAGTTCTGTTATTCACCATGATAATCATTTCAAGCAATTACTTCACTAAGCAAAATCCGTGAATGGCCCCCTCTCTGTGCCAGTCTGCTTTTAGCCAGTGATTTCATTCCTTTTTTTACCCCGTCTAATCTGACTGGTGGTAAAAATGGACTCTTTCCCTCTTTCACTCAGCAAAACCTTACCGAGTATCTCGCATTGTACAAATTAGGTTCTTTTGGGGCACCTGGGTGGCTCAGTCGGTTGAGCATCTGTCTCTCAATAATAAATAAACATTAAAAAAAATTTTTTTTTTTATAAAGAAATTTTAACGTTTATTCATTTTAGAGAGAGAGAGAGAGGGACACAGAATCCGAAGCAGGCTCCAGGCTCTGAGCCGTCAGCACAGCCTGATGCGGGGCTTGAACTCACGAGCCGCGAGATCATGACCTGAGCTGAAGTCAGACACTCAACCGGCTGAGCCACCCAGGCACCCCTAAAATGAATAAACGTTAAAAAAATAAAAAATTAGGTTTCTTTTAAGCTCAATTACTACAGTTAGTAAGTTCCTCATGTAAAAATCAAATGAATAACTGCCTAGTGAAAGGTTTCAAATTTTGTTTTTAACTCAGAACACTCTCTGGATAAATTCTCAGATTGCCAAGGGGTATTACACACAGTCTGCACATACTCCTATACAGCAGTCCCCCATGATCGGAGGCTTTGCTCTCTGCGGTCCGCCGTGGCCCGGAAGTGAATGATCCTCCTGATGTATCATCAGGAGGTCAGTAGTAGCCTACCTTTATGTCACAGTGCTACGTCACTCATCTTGCTTCACGTGGGCATTTTATCATCTCACATTATCACAAGAAGAAGGGTGAATACAGTATAAGAAGGTATTTTGAGAAACAGAGACCCCATTAAATAACCTTTATTATAATTGTTCCACTTTATTATGTTATGGTTAATCTCTTACCTATGCCTAATTTATAAGTCGAGCTTTGTCATACAGGGAAAAAAACCCCAGTATACAGGGGGCTCAGCACGGTCTGCAGTTTCAAGCGTCCATTGGAGGTCTTGGAATGTACCACCCACAGATAAGGGGGGACTGTTAGACTTCAATGGTCAGTAAATAAGGATGGGGATTAATGGATTTCCTCTGTCTGGCTGCTTTGCTGGACTCTGCAGAGAATATACTTTTTCCGCTGATCTTTGCGGAAGTGTGTGCATGTGTCCTGTCTGCAAGCTTTGTCTTGGCCTGGCTCTGTTGGTAACGAGGTCTCTCCACCATACTATACTTCCAGGTGATGACACATCTCCATGTGATTGAAGAAAGAAGGAACCAAAGCCTCTCACTGCTCTACAAAGTACCTTATGTAGCCCAAGAAATCCAAGAGGAAATCGGTGGGTGCTGCGTTTGTACTGAGGTCTGTGAGGGACTTTGGCCAAGACTCAAGGGTGGCAGCGGTACAAGGGCCAGGAAGCTAGGCATTAGCACTCCAGGGTTTAGGTCTGGAATTCACTGGGGCTTACGTGGCAAGCAAGGTCAAGGAGTAACCTGGGGACAGATGTACTGGCAGTGAGCCACAGAGCCTTGAGTTTCTTAACCTTTACTCTGTTACCGGAAGAAAAATTGAGGGTGTGAAATTGCAAGGGACCGGGGAGTTTCCTGTTGCCCTTTCCCCCTTAATTGCTGATGCATTTCAAGGCACCTATTTTACACACATTCTCATTTCCTCTCTCTCTTCTGGTCTTCTTTTTTTTGTTTGTTTGTTTGTTTGTTTGTTTGGCAAATATTTATTGTGTCTACTGTGTGTCACAGAGGGAAAATGGTGTAGACCGTATATCCTGGAGGTCATGTTATAGTATGAGACAGACAGGAAAACAAGAAAAGGAGTGCCATGTGGGGGCATCAAATAGGGTGGAATGGTGGAGAGTGGCTGGGTGGTCAAGGGGTTTGTCTTGGGTGCAGTCACCTGGGACCCACATGACAAGAAGGAGCCATCCACGCAAAGACCACAAGGGGAAAAACACTGTTAGCAGAGGAAATGACTACTGCAGAGGCCTGAAGTTTAAGTCAAGTGTGGACACATTTGAGTAGATCAGTGTGACTAGAACATAGTGAGGGAGAAATGGGGCCAAAGAAGTTGGCAGAGACCAATTTGTTCAGAGATTTTAGCAAAATCAAGGAGTCTGGGTTTTATTCTAGGATAAATGGAAAGCTGTTAGAGAGCTTTAAACTAGGGAGTGACCAGATCTGAATTATGCTTTAAAAAAGAACATGAACTAAAGAAAAAATTACTTGGCTGCTATGTGCTATTAAAATTAGAAACCTGCCAGGAAGCAATTGTAAAAATCCAGGCGACAAATGCTGATCGTGGGCACTAAGATGGTAATGGAGGAAATAAACAGATGTGGGGGCTTTCGGGCACGTTGCAGACAAAGGGTGAACAGCGTGCTGCTGGGTTGAATGCCGGAGGTGAGGGACAGGAAGACATTGAGGGTAATGCCCAGCCTTCCATTGTCAGCAGCTGAGTGGATGGTGATGCCGCACTTGGCTGAGGAAAAGCGTTCTCTTTATACATGATAAAATAGAAGTTGGACATTAAGTGGGGGTGTAAAGGAGGCTGTTCAGTGAGCTGGAGGTCGGGCAGTAAATATGAGGTACAGATTTTCAGATCGTGGCCTATGGATGGCATTTAAAACTGTGCCCATTGGATGAAACCACTGAACCAGAGTGAGTTGGTAAACAAGAGGAGTTCTGGGGCACTGGGGTTCCGCGGTGCTACAGGATCGGGGGTGCAGGCAGGAGGGAGTTGTCCACTGCGAGCTGGTGAGATGCTCCCCTCAGTAGATCCCAAGTTCTGTAATGCCATGAGTTAGCCTTGTTCACACTGGTGATCCCTCTGAATGCCGGTTCCCTGCCATGCCTCTCTTTGTCAGATGAGCTGCTTCAAGAACAGCGTGCAGACATGGACCAGTTCACGGCCTCTATCTCAGAAACCCCCGTGGACGTCCGGGTGAGCTCCGAGGAGAGTGATGAGATCCCACCATTCCACCCCTTCCATCCCTTCCCGTCCTTACCTGAGAACGAAGGTGTGTATGATTGACAGCGCAGCTTCTCAGCGGCGCTGGGGGCGGGGATGGGCCTGCAGTTGGAAAGTTGAAGGTAGAATTTTGAACCTGGGTTGTGTTGGGGGGCTATTTTCCTGGTGACAGTTGGGCAGGGAAATGGAGACTGGATTCATTGAGCACCTACTGTGTGCAGGCACCATGCTGGGTGCCTTCAAATCCTTGGCTTCAGTATCACCATGAGGTTAGTAACATTTCTCCCACTTTAGAGAGATGGTTTGCTGAAATCCTCTTTTTTTTTTTTCTGGTCCTGTCAGCTGCCTTCAGAGTGTATGACACCTTGCATGTGGAAGTCACTCTGCTTCTTAAAGAGCACTTTCACGTTGTATTAGGTCATTAGCTTTTCATAACAAGCTGGGGAGCAGGCAGTGGAGAGACGACAGAGGTGACTTTGCAAGGTGATACCTCTGGTGTTGTGGGTGATAAGAAGCCATGTCCCTCTGACTCTGTCTGGCACACTTTCTTCTATTCCTTTGCTGGGTCTTGATGTTTAAAAGGATCTTTAAAAGCTGTGGGTCTGCACCAGAAATAAACAAGCTGCTCAGCTCGGTGCCCTGAGACCAGGCTGTGGAATCAGTTTCTATTTATTTGTCTGCTGCTATTGCTGCTGATGGTGGTGGTGATAAAAATAGTGGCCACAGCTATAGAGCCCTTATCATATGCCAGCTTTAGCTAAGTGCTGTGCATGGATGCTCTCATTTAATCCTCAAAATAGCCCTCTTAGGTAGGTACTGTGAGTGTCCTCATTTGGGGATTCCAAGATTTAAAGAGGTTAAGTGTCTGTCCAGGCTCACGTAGCCTGTGGGTGGAGAGTAAGGATTTGAACCCAAGCTGATGTGGTCCTGCAGTCCTGGGTACTGTCGCCTACCTCAGACCAGATGTAGCAGTGCTGGGACAGAGGCCTGAAGAAGATACTGAATGGGGAGGATGGGGTACATCCAACTCAGCCTTCAGACTTAAACAGAATGCCTTCTGAACAAGTTACCCCAAAGGTACCAACTCGTACGGTTGACCCTGCGATAGTAAAACGGAATGTGAGAAAGGAGCCAGAGAAGTAAAGAGATCCCACTTTGTTCCTAAAACCTGCACTTACAAATCCCATACCTGCATGGGCTTGTAGGGTGGACGTGCTTACGTATCCCATTTGGGGGTGAGGACATCTCAGACAGATCTGAACTAGGACCTTGTCTCCTTGTTAGAAAACCACAATCGATACTGACTGTATTTTTGTTATTTTCTAAGAAAAATAACTTTGTGGGCTAAGCTAAATAATTTGGGACTCTCCCCAAATTTCCCCCCAAGACAGACCTACTTCTTTCTCTCCTACCTTCCAGTCATATGTTGTAGCTCTTAACTGCTGGTTTGTTTATGGGATGTGTCAGGTGTGTTTTTAAGGAAGAATACTTTTTATTTACGTTATAGAGAAATTCTAAGATAGCAATTTTGAAAGAAGCCATTTTCTTTCTTAATCTCCTTTTTTGTGCTATTTTCT